AAAGCCGGCCCTGGCTGCAACCCTCTGTTCAGGCCCCAGCTGCAGTCACAGCTCTGCTCTGCCCCCAGCCTAGCTTAGCTCTCATTCCCTTTCTGCCTCCAGCCCAAGCTCCTCTGCTGAGGAAGCCTTGGCTGTGCAGTAATGGAGGTGGATGTGGACTAGGGTGACCAGATGTCCCAATTTTATAGGGATAGTCCCAATATTTGGGGCTTTTTTTTTTTTTTATATGGGCTCCTATTTACCCCCCCACCCTCGTCCAGATTTTTCACACTTGCAGTCTGGTCATCTGAATGCAGACAGATTCCATTACTGGTAAGGGGCGGGGGTGACAGGAAAAGTTTGGGCACCACTGCTCCACAGCCTTAAGCAGTGAAGCAAAGGCGCTGGAGTCATGGTTGCTTTGATATGGAATTTCCTGCTTTGCCTTCCCCAGTGGAATAAGGATCAGTGGGAAGTTGCTGGAAAGGCAGAGCCACAGCTGCCCTGTCGTACATACATACATCCAGATTCTCCAGCTCCTGGCAGCCACTGGATGAAAGAACCTGTCTCCTTCCAAAAGCTGAAGCTCACCAACAATACCCTGGATCAACACGGGCACGTAAGATGAGAGCTGGGTTTGTCTCTGCTCCCTGGAACTTGTTATCTAGGAATTTGTGGGAAGGAGGATTCGGTTGCAAATCGAATGTCGGTGTCATGAGAAATTAAATGATTGGGAAACTTCCGGGAAACTTTGTTACAAATGGGAAATGTGCAGTCTGTGGGAGGGTTCATGCTGCAGGGCCGTGGTATCTGTAGGCAGTACATACTCTTCAGCCTACTGACTACAGCCCCATAGGTTTGGTGGCTCTTGATGACTTTGGACTCAGCATTGACTCAGGATACGTTAGCAGGTCTAAGTGGAGGAAGGCTAAAACTTCTTTCCTTCCACACTGTGTTACCCCCACTGCAAGGCCGCTAGGTTTACTGCCCTAGTCATGCAACTAAAATATGGAGGCACCGTACTCAGAATGTGCAATATTCCTCCTTTCACCAGCTTCCAGAGATGGGCTCAGTATATGCTGCCACTGCTGGAATATGCGGGGAGACCCCAATTCCTGGGTCCCCTCAGAAAACACCCATGACTAAAGACAGATGGCGCTTGAATGATCACAGAGAAGAGGTGGTCACTCTTGAGGGGTGGTTGGCAACTTCAGAATATGGCAATAGCAAGCCTACTGAGCCAAGCTGCAAATGGAATTCTTCCTTTCTCCCTCTCCACCAGATCATCCTTCACTCCATGCACCGCTACAAGCCTCGCTTCCACGTCGTTCAGGCAGACGACCTGTTCAGTGCCCGCTGGAGCATCTTCCAGATGTTCAGCTTCCCTGAGACTGTCTTCACCTCTGTCACTGCCTACCAGAATGAGCAGGTAGAGTGTATGAGATCAGCCTTCCACTCCCTCGGAAATACCCTGTCCCTAACACCTAGGGTGACCAGACAGTGTGTGTGGGGGGAAATAGGCACCTATATAAGACAAAGACCCAAATATCGGGACAGTCCCTATAAAATCAGGACATCTGGTCACCC